ACACACACTAGCACAAAACCCACACCTAGCACACACAAAACTACACACACACGCCTAGACCACACACACACATACCCCACCACACACTTAGCACCACACGCACCTAACACCCACACACACCACACCTAGCACTCAACACACCTAGCACTACACACACACCTAGCACCACAAAACCTAGCACCACCACACACCTAGCAAAACACACACACCTAGCCCCCATCCCCACTTAGCACCACACCCCACCCTAGCACCACAGACACCTAGCACCACACCCCTTTGCGCCACACACCCCAGCCCCAACACGCACCTGCACCACAAACCTGACACACACCTAGCACCACATCCCACACCAAAGCACCACACACCCCTAGCACCACACCACCTAGCACCACATACACACTGGCACCACCACACTAGCACAACACGCACCTAGCACCACATACACACCTAAACACAACAAAACTAGCACACCACACACCTAGCACCACACACACCCTAGCACCACATACACACCTAGCACCACATACACACCTAGCACCACATACACACCTGGCACCACACACCCCTAGCACCACACACCCCTTTGCACCACATACACACCTAGCACCACAACACCTAGCACCACACCACAAAGCACCACACGCACTTAGCACCACACACAACCTAGGACCACAGCACACTAGCACCTCCCCACTAGCCCCACAGCATCTAGCACCCACCACACCTAGCACCACACACACCTAGCACCACACACACCTAGCACCACTACCCCTAGACCACACACCCCTAGCACCACACACACCTAGCACCACACACCCCTTTAGCACACACACACCAAAACCCAACACCTAGCCCATACACCCTGGGCAACACCCCACCTACACCACATACACCTAGAAACCACATACACACCTAGCACCACTACACACCTAGCACCACACACACCTAGCACCACACACACCTAGCACCACACACACCTAGCACCACACACACCTAGCACCACACACACCTAGAAACCCACACCCTAGCACCACACACACCTAGCACCACACCACCTAGCCCACACACACCTAGCACCACACACACCTAGCCCCAACCACACCTAGCCCACACACACCTAGCACCACACACACCTAGCACCACACCCCACCTAGCACACCACACCTAGCCCCCACACACCCCTAGCACCACACACCCCTAGCAACCACACACCCCTAGCACAACACACACCTAGCACCACACACACCTAGCACCACACACACCTAGCACCACCCCACACCTAGCACCACACACACTGACCCACACACCTAGCACCACAAAACCCCTAGCCCCAACACCCCAACCTAGCACCACACACACCTAGCACACACACACTAGCACCACACACACCTAGCACCACACACACCTAGCACCACAACCACCTAGCCCACACACACCTAGCACCACCACATCCTAGCACCACACACACCTAGCACCACACACACCTAGCACCAACATACCTGCACCACACACACCTAGCACCACACATACCTAGCACAACACACACCTAGCACACCACACACACCTAGCACCACACATCCCTAGAAACCACACACACCTAGCCCACACATACCTAGACCACACACACCTAGCACACACCCCACCTAGCACCACACACACCTAGCACCACACACACCTAGCACCAACACACCTAGCACCAACACACTAGCACCACACACACCTAGCACCACACATCCCTAGCACCACCCCACACCTAGCACCACACACACTAGCACCCACACACCTACACCAACACCCCTAGCACACACACCCCTAGCACCACACATACCTAGCACCACACACACCTAGCACCACACACACCTAGCACCACACACACCTAGCACCACACACACCTAGCACCACACACACCTAGCAACTGAAACAACAAACTCTCCGATTTCTCTGAACATATTTCGCCACTCTCAGTGAAAAGATTGTCACATCTGTCCTGGTGGTCACATCTGTCCTGGTGGTCACATCTGTCCTGGTGGTCACACCTGCCCTAGTGGTCACACCTGCCAGGTGGTCACACCTGCCTTGGTGGTCACACCTGCCCTGGTGGTCACACCTGCCCTGGTGGTCACACCTGCCCTAGTGGTCACACCTGTCCTGGTGGTCACATCTGTCCTGGTGGTCACATCTGCCCTGGTGGTCACATCTGCCCTGGTGGCCACACCTGCCCTAGTAGTCACACCTGCCCTGGTGGTCACACCTGCCCTAGTGGTCACACCTGCCCTGGTGGTCACACCTGCCCTAGTGGTCACACCTGCCCTGGTGGTCACACCTGCCCTAGTGGTCACACCTGCCCTGGTGGTCACACTCGCAGTTCCCGTCAGTACTATCACTGGCTCAGTCCAGGGAAGGAGGATCGAGCTTCCATCCTCTCACCCTTTTATCAAACCATTTATTTTACAGTATTTTATTACCTCTTTTATTAAGATGTTTTATTACCATGTTTTATTACCATGTTTTATTACCATGTTTTATTACCATGTTTTATTACCATGTTTTTTTTGCCTGTTTTATTAAAAAAATTTATTACCTCTTTTATTAGCATAATTTAGTCCCTGATTTACTACCTGTTTTATTTCTTGTTTTGTTACCAGTTTTATTACTTGTTTTAATGTTGTATTAACTTGTTTTATTACCTGTTTTATTAACATGTTTTCTTCCCTGTTTTATTAACATGTTTTCTTGCCTGTTTTATTAACATGTTTTCTTGCCTGTTTTATTGAAGTGTTTTATTACCTGATTTATTGACATGTTTTATTGTCTTTTTTATTAAAATATTCTATTACCTGTTTTATTAAATGTTTATTAACATGTTTCATTAACCTGCTTTATTATCTGTTTTTAGCATGTTTCATTACTTGTTTTATTGTTTCATTAACAGTTTTATTTTCTGTTTTATGATGTTTCATTATCTGTTTTTTTAGATGTTTTATTAACTGTTTTATTAATGTGTTTTATTAACTGTTCTATTGACAGTTTTATTTTCTGTTTTATTTACTGCTTCATTAACTGTTTTATTCAGTGTTTCAATAAATGCTTTATTAACATGTTTTATTAACTGTTTGATTAACTGCTTTATTAACTTTTTTAACCGTTTCATTAACTGTTTTATTAACGATTTTATTAAATTTTTATTAACTGTTTTATTAACGGTTTTATTAAATGTTTTATCAACTTGAAATTGAGTGACAATGCCACGTCCATTTTTCCCCTTTATTTCTCTGCATTTCTCACTGTTTTTTTTCAACCTGTCTCTTCTTATACTTGGAGTATACCTGGAGTATAACTGGAGAGGGTTTTGGGGGTCAACGCCCCCGCAGGCCGGTCTGTGACCAGGCCTCCTTACTTTCACCATTTTTGCATTGTGAAAACATTTCATACATCAACTTTCCCTCATCTACCATTTCTCTGTGTGTTTGTTTTTATTACGTTTATTCATAAAATGTATAATTTCCATTTGGCTGATTGCTTAGTTTCACATTAATAATAATAATAATAATAAAAATAATAATAATAATAATATAATAATAATAATAATAATAAAAATTTAATAATAATAATAATAAAAATAATAATAATAAAAATAATGACAATAATATTATTATAAATATTATTATTATTATTATAAATATTATTGTTATTATTATCATTATTATTATTATGATTATTGTTATTATTATTATTATTATTATTATTATTATTATTATTATTATTATTATTATTATTTTTATTATTATGAATATTATATTCAGTTTAAACTTACAGATTTCACGAGGGTTAAGAGGATTTAACCCGTTCGTCATTAGTAAAGGATACTTTAGTCCCTAGAAATGAGGATTACAGTAACTCTCATTGTATACAATAAGAGACACAAAGTGTGTAAATACCAGGAGTTACACGTATTGGACTTGTTAGATGGGGTAAGTTCCCATATTAATCATACATTTGAATTACAAATATTAATTACGTATGTTAATGGGGAACATTACTATTATTAGTACTGTATACGAATATTATGCATTACGTATATGTATAATATATACAGTATTATTCAAGGAGACATCCCCCACACACAAATACATTTCCTACGTGATAATGAAACGAGAAGAAAGCGGCACTGATCAATGTATTCACGTGCAAAATACAAGGAAATTCATTCATAAATTAATCAAGATTTCCATAAATCTCTATGTACACTGAACACACAAGCCAAGCAGCAGCAAATGATGAATTTTGGGAAAAAAGGTCGGACCATTAAGAGCAAGGACGGATAAGGCAAAAATCTTTAAATATATATATATATATATATATATATATATATATATATATATATATATATATATATATATATATATATATATATATATATATATATATATATATGGGTAGATATAGATATACAGAGTTAGCTAGAGCAGGTTAAGAACGCCTCCAGGACTCATTATTCTCTTCCAAAACGTGTTTTTATATAGATATTCTCGAGCTGGTTGTGGGTGGGGAGAGGGGGGGGGGCAGGAGGGGGTCTATACAGGCTCTTATATGTACATACAGTTATGAAAATATAAAAATAATACAACTATTATACAGACAATGATAACATCCATTGGGATATCGTCTCCACTCAATAACTCAATAGATATCAATTTTTCGCTTTTTTTCCTATCATAGGTTTAAAAATGACAAGAATTCGTAAGACTAGCAAAATAAACTCTGTTTGTGGCTAGAGATCTGAGTGATTTGCGAGCGTATATATATAAATATATATATATATATATATATATATATATATATATATAATAAAATATATATATATATATTATATATATATAATAATATATATATATATATATATATATATAATATATATATATATATATATATATATATATATATATATATATATATATATATATATATATATATATATATATATATATACAGTTAAAAAATCATTACGCTTGAACAAAATATTACTTTTCTGAAGAAAAATATAATATATAATTTGTGAAAATATTAACAAAGACAATAAATAAATAGAGTCCTGAAATAAAGATAAATGTAAATTACGAACAATTATAACAAAATCAATTAATAAATTATATGAATTAATATATTTTTAATATAATGACACCCGAGTGTTGGTCCTCCTGCTTCACTTGAGGCTCAAGATTCGGATAAAACTAATCATGATCCAAAAGAAAGGTAATCTATCGCCCTTATGTAAACATAATTAATTACCACACAATCAGTGTTAAATAGAACGTATCGATTTATCAATTAAAATAAGGACAAACACAGATTTATCAAATACATTATGAATAATAGACATAAACTAGAATATCTGCACGTAAATATCACATTCTGGTATATGTTGTGATATGACACAAATGGAAGGCAGAAGATGAATAAAAGAGATCAAGCATGAAAGCAATGAAGGAGTCGTAGCTTAATGTAGGACAGTTTATGCACCATTGTATCGACTATACTGACGATGTTGCTTCCTCCAGGACACCTTTTCGGCACACATTCTTCCTGTCTCTCACTTGGTTCATCTCCACCTCACATATTACAAACACTTCCCCGTGGCCCGATGATTTCCCACTTTCCGCTCTACTGGGGACAAAAGATTTACCATTTTCTGTCATTTCCCGACTCGGGGACTTAGCATTTTCTTTCATGCGATTTGCTATAGATTTCTCGAGTTCTACAACGCCATGTCCCGGCGACTTCCCGTTTTCAGTCGTGTGATGGGGTGCTGACTTCAAGTTTTCGGCTGTATTGTGTCCCAAAGACTGTCTATTCTCGGTCATGGAGTTGTTTTGGTCTAGTAGAAGCGCCTGATTAACCGGACTTTTTCGTCCTACTTCAGGTTTATTTCTCTTCTTGGCCTTGGACTCATGGAGAGCCTGTTTTAGGATTTCTTCCTGCTCTGGGGTGAAGGAGAGTCTGGTGTAGCAGTTCTTAATGGGGTGTGGAGAGCCTGCCTGTTTCACCACCCCGCTGGGGGAGTCGTGATCATCTGGAGGAACGAAATCGTCGTGTTGTACGACGTGGTCGTCGGAGGGGTCTTCGTCACTGTGTGTGCTGTGGCTCATCTCCTGTACGGTGCTCAAGCGTTCATTCTCACCCGACGCCATGTCTGGCTTCGTCGGCGTCCTGGAAAGAAAAACAACACGCTAAAAAAAATTATGAACATAGAAAATGAAGAAAATTCATGCTCCCCTACTTCAGATCCTTTCTTTCTCCTGGACATTTATGATCATGGATATGGAGAAAGTTATCCCCAAACAGGCGATCCCTCAGCTGGGAGCTGCGACGCCCCCTCTCTCCCTCTCAAATTATCTCTCTCGCCAGCGCGCAGAGGTCAGAGGGGGAAGGGGAGGTATCAAGAGAGCCTCTAGCTTTCCATCAGCTGGATGGGGAGGATCACATTTCTTGCAAACAGTGGAGCCTAACTAACTAGTTTTAAATTAGAGCGAGATTACATGTAGATAGAACGTGGTCATGAACACTTTCCAGTTGAGCTGTAGGTGCCGATATAGCTTTGGAGATGACTGTCTCCAAAATAGACATTGTTCACGTACTAGCCCAGGAGCTTTTAGACTGCGGCACACAAGCACATATCACATTCTCAGTTTTAATGATAAGTGATGGAAACTAGTAAGTCAGAGTGTATGCAGTTGAGAATCTTGGAGTTGTGAATCCGTGGAAACACAATTATGTGTAAGCAAAATAAAAACACCTGAGCGTCGAGGCTATACAAACTTACCTGAGAGGAGAAACGTTCCTTTGGAGAGAGTCTTGTGAGCCACCGACCATAGTGCCAAGGAGAGAACCGTTGTTGCTCTGCTGCGAGGCTCTGGCATTGCGGGTGAGGTCACAGAGAGTGATCTGGGTCAGCGTGGAGTTGCGGTGGTTGGGGGCGTTGACCACCGTGTTGTGAGGGAAGGTGTTGTTTACAGAGGAGTAGGCTCCCTTGTACCTGCGGTAAAACAACGAAAGTCATAACAAGTCGCCTGAAGGGAGATCATGATGGATCATGGTAGGTCATGAGTAGTCACCTCATATGTGAAGACTGATAGGTCATGAAGAAATCATGATGTTTCATGTAGTCATAACGGGTTATTACCAAAGAATATAGTAATATATAATATCCCATCTCTACCTCACATCTTCCATTTCACCTTCACCTCATCCCCCTCCCCTTTCCTTCAACACATCTCCCACACCTTCCCCATCCTCTTCCTCACCTCATTGCTCGCTTTGTACAGAAACCATATCTTGCGAGGAGAATGAAGAGATCTCGCCTGTACTGCTTCGTCAAAATGGCGTATAAGTATGGATTTGCACACGAATTGAGTGGGTAGAAGAACACTAGTAGAATCTTGGCTCTGGTCACGTTGATCAGAGGGACACCAGCCACCGCCGTCAGTCTGCAAGATTTACAAA